CCAACCCAAAACCAATTGGCAATGGATGGAGTAACCTACTTGAGTTATATGGTTGATTTTTTCTTCTCCCAACCGATGTGGGACTTCTTGTTTGTTCCCAACACCATAAGTGCATGTATCCATTGTTGTTAAAAATATGTAAAATAAATTTGTTTGTTCTCGATTTAACAGTTGATGAACTGATTGAGCTACAATAACAAAGCTCGAGTGTTTTAACGAATGTGTGCATACAACACATTTGACGAAAAAAATTAAATTTAACTTACACGTTAGGAAATAAGTTGAAGATATTATCATATAAAAATGTTATTTTCGCTTTTAGATTTTAAAACTTTTAAACAAGAAAGTTGATAGTCGTAAGCTCTCCATTAATTCGCCACTTACTAACTCATAATTGTAACTATTTATCGCATTTTTAAAAACACAACTTCGATCCCTGACGCTATTACTTAAACAAAGAACAATAGGAAAGCGTTGCTATGTATTTAAAATGAAAAAAATAAAGGAGATTTCAGAGTCTACTATTCGCGTGCAGTGCCTTGATAATTATTGGCAAATATTAAACAGATATTAACTAGTAATAAAATCCTGAAAGGGTATATACACTGGAATAAAAATTGCTTGATTCTATGTGCTGTTTTGCATTTCATCTTCATACCTGGTCTGGTCAGATGTGGAAAGGGAATATGAATCTTAATTTGTTTTATTACTAGTCTTTTTTTTAAGATAAGTGAGATAATATAAGCAAATAAATAGAACGTAAGGTCTAGTTGCAGAGTATAGTATACCAAACTAGTGCTTTGAATGGTACTCTCTATTTTGTGTTCAATTGTGTTACATTATCTTCTAAATCATCTTTTACATTATACCACGTGAAAACACACCATTATACAGTTTTAAAAAACCAAACAATTTTCACTTCAATCATCTTTTAACACCACATCAAATGTCAACAAGGATGTACACTTGGAGTGTACATCTAGCATTATTCTTTGGTGTTAGAGATATATTGACAACTCCGAGCTTATAAGTTGATTAATGTTGTAACGACTTGAATCTCTATATCCATGTCGTTAACTTATATGCTGTTTGCTTTGGAAGAATCTGAGTTTATCTTATTCCTTACGAATTTTTGTCATGCTCCCAATATTCAAACCCAAGATAAGTTGTTTTATGAAAAACTTAAGTTAAATACTAGTGCCAATTAGGCAATGTTACCAAGATTCAATTAATTCTCTTATAACATAGAGGACTTGAGTTCAAATTTTGGGGGTGCGACAAAAATTCATGATGGTAAGATGGGTTTAAACTCTCGTAGAAAGGATAGGACGTAAAAGAACAAGTTGAGCACGAGGTCCATATCGTTACTCATGCAGCTTTTAAGATACTAGTTTGACACACGTGCG